CAACCCTGTAGTTAGGTCCTTTCGGAGTACTCTAAGGTAATACAAATCTTGCCTCCAAATATGACTGTTCAAATCCTTGTAGTTTTCGAGATATGACGTTTTTGTGATTTTTTCAAAATTTTTCTGAAAATTTAAGTTATTATTTGTTTTTAATAATCCGAAATTCCCAACCCTGTAGTTAGGTCCTGTCGGAGTACTCTAAGGAGTTACAAATCTTGCCTCCAAATATGACTGTTCAAATCCTTGTAGTTTTCGAGATATGACGTTTTTTGCGATTTTTTCAAAATTTTTCTGAAAATCTAAATTATTATTAGTTTTTAAAAATCTGAAATTCCCAACCCTGTAGTTAGGTCCTGTCGGAGTACTCTAAGGTAATACAAATCTTGCCTCCAAATATGACTGTTCAAATCCTTGTAGTTTTCGAGATATGACGTTTTTGTGATTTTTTCAAAATTTTTCGGAAAATTTAAGTTATTATTTGTTTTTAATAATCTGAAATTCCCAACCCTGTAGTTAGGTCCTGTCGGAGTACTCTAAGGAATTACAAATCTTGCCTCCAAATATGATTGTTCAAATCCTTGTATCTTTCGAGATATGACGTTTTTTGCGATTTTTTCAAAATTTTTCAGAAAACTTAAATTATTTTTTTTCTTTAAAAATCTGAAATTCCCAACCCTGTAGTTAGGTCTTGTCAGAGTACTCTAAGGAGTTACAAATCTCGATTCCAAATATGACTGTTCAAATCCTTGTAGTTTTCGAGATATGACGTTTTTTGTGATTTTTTCAAAAAATTTTCAGAAAACTTATATTAATTTTTTTTCGCAAAATCTGAAATTCCCAATCCTGTAGTTAGGTCCTATCGGAGTACTCTAAGGAGTTACAAATCTTGCCTCCAAATATGACTGTTCAAATCCTTGTAGTTTTCGAGATATGACGTTTTTTGCGATTTTTTCAAAATTTTTCTGAAAACCTAAATTATTATTAGTTTTTAAAAATCTGAAATTCCTAACCCTGTAGTTAGGTCCTTTCGGAGTACTCTAAGGTAATACAAATCTTGCCTCCAAATATGACTGTTCAAATCCTTGTAGTTTTCGAGATATGACGTTTTTGTGATTTTTTCAAAATTTTTCTGAAAATTTAAGTTATTATTTGTTTTTAATAATCTGAAATTCCCAACCCTGTAGTTAGGTCCTGTCGGAGTACTCTAAGGAGTTACAAATCTTGCCTCCAAATATGATTGTTCAAATCCTTGTAGTTTTCGAGATATGACGTTTTTTGCGATTTTTTCAAAATTTTTCAGAAAACTTAAATTATTTTTTTTCTTTAAAAATCTCCCAACCCTGTAGTTAGGTCTTGTCAGAGTACTCTAAGGAGTTAAAAATCTCGATTCCAAATATGACTGTTCAAATCCTTGTAGTTTTCGAGATATGACGTTTTTTGCGATTTTTTCAAAATTTTTCTGAAAACCTAAATTATTATTAGTTTTTAAAAATCTGAAATTCCTAACCCTGTAGTTAGGTCCTTTCGGAGTACTCTAAGGTAATACAAATCTTGCCTCCAAATATGACTGTTCAAATCCTTGTAGTTTTCGAGATATGACGTTTTTGTGATTTTTTCAAAATTTTTCTGAAAATTTAAGTTATTATTTGTTTTTAATAATCTGAAATTCCCAACCCTGTAGTTAGGTCCTGTCGGAGTACTCTAAGGAGTTACAAATCTTGCCTCCAAATATGATTGTTCAAATCCTTGTAGTTTTCGAGATATGACGTTTTTTGCGATTTTTTCAAAATTTTTCAGAAAACTTAAATTATTTTTTTTCTTTAAAAATCTCCCAACCCTGTAGTTAGGTCTTGTCAGAGTACTCTAAGGAGTTAAAAATCTCGATTCCAAATATGACTGTTCAAATCCTTGTAGTTTTCGAGATATGACGTTTTTTGTGATTTTTTCAAAATTTTTCTGAAAACCTAAATTATTATTAGTTTTTAAAAATCTGAAATTCCCAACCCTGTAGTTAGGTCCTGTCGGAGTACTCTAAGGTAATACAAATCTTGCCTCCAAATATGACTGTTCAAATCCTTGTAGTTTTCGAGATATGACGTTTTTGTGATTTTTTCAAAATTTTTCTGAAAATTTAAGTTAATATTTGTTTTAAAAAATCTGAAATTCCCAACCCTGTAGTTAGGTCCTGTCGGAGTACTCTAAGGTAATACAAATCTTGCCTCCAAATATGACTGTTCAAATCCTTGTAGTTTTCGAGATATGACGTTTTTGTGATTTTTTCAAAATTTTTCTGAAAATTTAAGTTAATATTTGTTTTAAAAAATCTGAAATTCCCAACCCTGTAGTTAGGTCCTGTCGGAGTACTCTAAGGAGTTACAAATCTTGCCTCCAAATATGATTGTTCAAATCCTTGTAGTTTTCGAGATATGACGTTTTTTGTGATTTTTTCAAAATTTTTCAGAAAACTTGAATTATTTTTTTTCTTAAAAATCTGAAATTCCCAACCCTGTTGTTAGGTCCTTTCAGAGTACTCTAAGGAGTTACAAATCCTGCCTCCCTATATGACAGTTATTATCCTAATAGTTTTCGAGATATGACTTTTTTTTGCGATTTTTTCAAAATTTTTCAGAAAACTTAAATTATTATTACTTTTTAAAAATCTGAAATTCCCAACCTGTAGTTAGGTCCTGTCGGAGTACTCTCAAAGGTTGCAAACCTTACCTCCAAGTATGACTGCTCAATTTTTTGTAGTTTTCGAGCTATGACGTTTTTTGTGATTTTTTCAAAATTTTCAGAAAGTTTAAATTAATTATTTTTCAAAATTTGAAATTCCCAACTCTATAGTTCGGTGTTGTCAGGGTACTCTAAATCTTGCCACATGCGACTGCTAAACGCGACTGCTCAAATGCTTTTAGTTTCCGAGATGTGACTTTTTTCGATTTTTTAAAATTTCTCAAAGAACTTATGTACAAAGAAATTCAAAAAATTTGAAACTACTAACTTGACGAAGATACAACCTTATTGTCAGCGTACACCCAGGTGTCTCAAATCTTGCCTCTTAATTTGAATGCTCAAATCCTTTTAGTTTCCGAGAAAAGATGTTTTTTTTTCAATTTTTTTTTTCGGGAATCTTAGGTTTAAAAAGTTCACAATATTTTGAATTCCTAACCCTATAGTAGGGTGCTCTCAGGGAGTCTCAGTGGTTGCAAATCTGGCTTCCAAATTTCTCCAGACGTCCATTAAGTTTTCGAGATGACGCTTTTAAAATGGGAATTTAAAAAAAAATTAAAAGTTCGAAATTACCAAACCTGGGTGCAGTCAGAGTACACTAAAAGTTTGCAGATGTTGTTTCCAATGTATGCGGTTTTTTTCATGAGTTGTCGAAAAATTTCGATTGCTAGTTATATTTAAATGTGGGCTTCACTATCTCGCCATGCTTAAGCTTTTTCAACGTATTATTTTTGCATGTTTAAGCTATATCGTATATTGCAATGGTTAAGAATTTTTTTCGATTTTCAAGTTTGATTTTAGTGGTTATTTTACCGAGTTTAAGTTAAGCAGTCCAATATCGAATTAGGAGTTGCGAATTTGGCCTCCAATTTTGAATGCCCGAATCATTTTAGTTAACGAGATAAGACGATTTTTGAGATTTTTTCAAAAATTTTCAGAAATTTCAAATAACAAAATAAGTTACAAAACTTGAAGTTCCCAACCCTGTAGTTGGGTGCTGTCGGAGTACTCTAAGTATTTACAAATCTTGCCTCCAAATATGACTGTTCAAATCCTTGTAGTTTTCGAGTTATGACATTTTTTGTGATTTTTTCAAAAAATTTTCAGAAACTTATATGAGTTTTTTTTCAAAAGCTAAAATTGCCAACTCTGTAGTTGGGTTCTGCCAGAGTATCCTCAAGGATTCCGAAATATGCGAAATCTCGCCTCCAAATATGACTGCTCAATTCTTTGTAGTTTTCGAGATATGACGTTTTATGTGATTTTTTCAAAAGTTTTTTAGAAAACATAAATTAATTTTTTTTCTTCAAAGTTTGAAATTCTCAACCCTGTAGTTGGGTACTGTCAGAGTTCTATCTATTGAGGATTGCGAATCTTGCCTCCAAATATGACTGCTCAAATGCTTACAGTTTTCGAGATGTGACGTTTTTTGAGATTGTTTCAAAACTTTCAGAAAACCTAAACTTATTATTTTTTTAAGTTTGACATTCCCAACCCCGTGGTTGGATGCTGTCAGGCTACTCTAAGGTGTTGCAAATCTTGCCTCCAAGTATGTCTGTTCAAATCTTTGTAGTTTTCGAGATATGACGTTTGTGATTTTTCTTTAAAAAAATTGAGAAAATTTAAATATATATTTTTTGATAATTTGAAATTCCTGACTCTGTAGTTTAGTGCTCTCAGGGCACTCTCAGGAGTTACAAATCTTGCCACATGCGACTGCTCAAATGATTTTAATTTCCGAGGTGTACGTTTTTTTGATTTTTTTTTTTCAAAATTTCTCCAAGAAATTATCTACAAAGAAATTCGCAAAATTTGAAACTACCAACTTGGTGAAGACACAACCTTAATGTCAGCGTATGCCCCGGCTTCTCAAATCTTGCCTCCAATATGAATGCTCAAATCCTTTTCGTTTTTGAGATAAGACGTTTTTTTTATGATTTATTCATTTTTTGTCGGGAATCTTAAGTTTAAAAATACACGAAATTTGAAATTCCCAACCGTATAATAGGGTGCTATCAGAGGCTGCAGTGGTTGCAATGGGAATTAATTAACCCAAGTTTTAAAATGGGAATTAAAAAAATTAAAAAGTTTGAAATTACCAACCCTGTAATTGGGTGCAGTCAGAGTACACTAAAAGTTTGCAGATTTTGTTTCCAATTTATGCGGTTTTTCATGAGCTGTCTAAAGAATTCGAAGCACCGGAGATGCGTTAAGCGCTAGTAAGTATTAAATCCGTAAATAATCACAAATGTATATAAATTCGTTTTCAGGTGAGTGTTCCACAATACAGAGCTTTAATTTCGATGAAGTTCGGCAAAGTTGCGAGCAAATTGGCGTTGAAACGATTCGGCAATAACATTAACGAATGTCTTCGAGTGTTAGAAGAGAACGATTACAAAGCCTTGCTGTATCCAGAATCGCTGTGCCAACATTACGCCAGAGTGGACGAAACCCAACTTGGCTTGCTGAAAAGTTTGTGCGAAGAAAACACCTCCAGTATGAAGCTAGCTATCGCGCTTTTCATTTGCCAAAATGGTGTGACAGAGGCGAAGGAGAGAATGGACACAGAAGATATTACAGTAAGAATGGTGGAAAATGTGTGGTCGGGTTTGCCGGCTGAGGGAACTGAAGACGAGGAGGAAATCAAGAACTCGAAGAGGATTCGAAGTGAAGAATACGAAGCCCAGATGAAACTGGAAGAAATAGTGAGCAATGAACAAGGAGACGATTATCTAGATTTAGACTTCAAAACTGAACTGCCTTACATTGAACAGTACTTGGCCCTTCTCCAAACTGTTTGAGTGTGCTAAATACAAGATGAGAACATCCAGAATTTTTGCCATTTCCCAAAGAAGCCAATGTGAGCTCAGTTAAGGTTCCTCGTATGTAAAGGTCTAAAAGTTTCTCAACAAAATTCTGGTCGTTTTATTGGTTCCAGTGCTGACTATAGAAAATAATTTGTTTTATGAATTTTAAATCTTTGAATAGTTATTAAATTCTAATTTAGTTTTATTTTGTTAATAAGTATTATCCTCTGTGATTTCTCTACGTGACAGTAGAAACTGTTTGAATGCATCAAGGCGTCGCAGTTTGCCATCTACAAGCATTCGAGCGCATATTAATAAGTTTGGAACGCGTTTTTATTTTAACATAAACTGCGCAACAATGGAGTGTTGATTGTTTCGACTTTCGAAGACGGTGATAGTGTCTGTTTTAATCCGTCAAGTTTAGGCTCTTAGCTAAGTATTCTTGTTGACAAATGTTTTTATACGATCTGAAACATATTGTTGTGTTGAGCTCAAATTACAAAGAAATTTACCTGTGATTTTGTTTGTAAAGATGTGGGGGTTTGAAAATGGTTCAATTGGTCAAGTGGGAATAATTGAGGCTCGATATAGTGAGTTCTTATCGCACGAGTAATCGGTAATTTCAGTCATTCATAATTGATTTGAGCCCAGCAATTTGGACTGCATTTTGACTCTAGGATTTTTTTCGATTTGTTATTTTTTAACCTCTCAGCTGTGTTTTCACCTCTTCGAGCGACATTTGAAAAAGAAATCCGAAAATATTTCTCAGTGTCGAGAAAACTTCGGGTGTGTTTAACTTTTCAAAACTTTTATTCCATTTACTACAAATAATAATCGGAATAGGTCGAGTGAGCATATAAAGCGTGCGTATAATTTGAGCATATAAAGCGAGCGAGAGCAGGCTACTAATAAAGGAAAATCCTAGATCCGCGCCTGATAAGAGGATAAGTTGTATTCAGGGGCGGATCTAGGTTTTTCTCGAGGGAGGAGGCGGATTTTTAAGATGACCAAATTAATTTTTCAAGCTCTAACAAAGCGTTAAAAAGTCCTTGTTTTGGCCAAATTTTCTGCTCGTTTTTAGGCACCTTTTGAAAAATTTTGACCAAAAAAATTGCGTTTTTGGCGCGCTCTCCCTCGCTCAAAGTCCGTCACCAAAAACGGATATCTCAAATAGTCCAAAGGGGGGACCTTTTAGGCGGACAGGGGCTCGCATCCCTGAGGGGAGGGCGTCCACCCCCCGCCCCTAAATCCGTCCCTGGTTTTATTTGAGCCGCCAATATTTGTTTACTTCATCAAGGTTAGTGTTCACACTAGCTTCAGCTTAGTCTATTTTTAAGAACCGTTTTTTCTAAATATTGGTGCCACTTTTCAGGCACTTTTTGAAATGCATATTTTATACATAATATGACTGTATGCTTTGCGATTTGTTACATGAATTAGTGTGGATGCCTTCAGTTTGTTATATCCCAAATTATTACTTGCAAAATTGTGTCTATTTGTAATAGGTGCAATCACTTTGACAATTTATTTGCATATGTAGCTGCTTTGTTCGTGAATTGTGTTTGTCAGTAGTTAAGCGTGCGTGGCTACGTGGTTATTGCGTGAGACTCAAAGTCTCCTGATTGCAATGGGTTGCAGATCGAATACTTGCTATTTTTTCTTATTGAACTTTCTAGAGTTGTTTTTGTCGTTCTTCGCTTCTGTGATGAGAATGTCTTCTCGGGAAATTATTTTCTTAAAGAACTTGGATGGAATCTTATGAAAGTTGTCGAGCTGGTCATTAACCATGTTGCGGGGGACTTGTGCAGACGAATTTTTCAAAACGCGTTTTGTGGACATATGGAAAGTGGCCATGGATGGTTCAAAAAAAGCTAAATGAGGTGACCAAGAGGAATAAAGTCTACTCTTTAAAAAAATGTGCGCCGACCGCATCTAAAGCTGCTTGTGATTTGGCCTCATTCATATCGAAGTCAAACGACTGCGAACCCATGACAGATGACATTAAAAACGCCTTGCTCCAATCAAGAAGGATCAAGAGAAGAACAAGTAGAAGCACGAATACCAAAGACTCACAGCTGTAAGCTACTAGTCGAGTCATATGGGTTGAATGATGCTGCGCACGAATGGTATGAAACGCTGACAACTAGACTTTATACGCAGCAGTTTTTCGATTGTATGACGCAACAGTGTTTTTTCTTTTCGACGGTGGAAAATGAACACTGCGATGGATTGCTCATCGTACAAGTGGATGGTTTTTCCTTTAGCGTGACAACAGAATTTGAGAATCGTGTTCAAAGAGTACTAGACGGACTAAAACTGGGAATAATCAAGTGTGAGAACTTCGATTTTCTGGGACTTAGCGTGGCGACGTACAGTGACTCTTAGGAGTGAAGCCTGTATTGCTAGACGTAATGACGATACAGGGATTCGGAAACATGCCTGCAGCTGATAGCGAGATGGCAATTTGAGACAGTATGGTGGCAAGGGCGAGAACACTCATCAGAATGTTACAATGGATGACGATTTTGTTTCGGCCAGATTTATCCAAACGACTACACGATGTATTAAACCTTCTGCACATAAGGTTAACGTGGAGGTTCATAAGAGCATCGACCATTGTGGTGAGATTGTATAAAAAGCGGCCAATCCAATCAAATAAATTCAGAAAATTGACAGTAGTATTGCAGATGGAACTCTACCGAGATCCGAGCCAATAAGATCGATCAACAATGGGTCAAGTTGGAGTGAAACGAGACAAGATTGAAAATTGGACGACAGTTCACTGGCACTCAAGGACAATCGGCAGGCTACCCAACAATATCTTCAAAACAGAAGCATATGCGGCACGACTCACGAGTAAAGATTGCATCTACCGGAAAAGGATTGTGGTGGACGTCTGCTTACGGCACAGGTTTGAGAGGTTCATTCTTAACTGATAGCAAGCAAGTCCGTGAAAGTCACTGTAGACGCTCCGAAATTCAACAAAGACGTCAAATTGTCTAGGAGAGATATTGCTATGGTGCGACCGCTCATTCAGTTTGAAGGAAGTAAGTTCCACATAGATTGATCTGACGTCGGATTACTCGATAAGAGCAGTCTCTATGTATGCGCTAGTGGCATATTTGGACAAAAAACTTGACGAAAACTATGGCTATGGGGAGTTGTCACTAAACGAGCAGGAACAATGGTTTTCCGACCAATCAGAGACAGATACATTGTGAGTACGAGCAGAGGGGGAAGAAACAAAGAAAGAAAGCATTGCCTATCTGAAGCCCAATACATACCTATCTGAAACTTTTTAACAAACTACAAACCAGTATTCTGAAAAATTCAAAGTTGATAAATTAAGACAAAATAGCAAAAAAAAAGGTCAAACCCGGCGAATATGTAATACTTATTATATGTGCAAACTTCTTATATGAAAGTCATTTAGTCTGTCATGGTGATTTTGTGTGCAGGAAGTCACACCACATAATTATCTGAAATTAGAAACAGATAAGATACCGTTCCGCAAAGACACCAATTCAGAACCAATTTGTTTTAACCAGCGGAGAAGACTTCAACAAAAACATCAACGAATTCAAAGGACTTTTCAAGCTAATTGACTGCAAAGTTTATTTTCCTTTGCTCTTTAACCTAATTTTATATAATGTTGTGCATGATTCCTGGCAAGTTCAGGAGTCTACAAATAACAAACCTTTACACTTCTGAAAAAAAAAACATTTTCGGTTTACGGAAAACCTTTTTTCTACAGTTTTCGGTATGATGATCTGGTCTTTTTTTTTTGGTTTTCTGATCTGGTCAGTACGTTTTCGGATTGCTGATACATCCGTTTACTTGAAAATCGAGCATATTTCTGAAAAATAATATTACGATTTTCAATTATTATGGAATTATCTGTGATCGGACACATGTGCTACTTGCATATCAACTAGCTATGATGTTTTTACCGTGGTATTATTGAAAGCTCTTTACTGTAGCGTCGTCAAATCATTTGAAAATTTTTTTGCTAGGCACTGCATTTGAGTTCTGTAAAATCGAAATACACAGTTTTTTCTCTCCAACTAAAAGCTGTTCAAAAAGTCAAACAAGGTGACTTCTATTATCTAAATTTTCTAGATTTTTGTTTCTGTTGCTGGAATTTTTTTTTTCATGCAAATTTTGATCAAATTATTCACGTGGTCAAATTATCAAATTATACATGTATCTGAGCGTAGAAAGAGGGTGCCAAGTTTGAGTTGCTGGGGGAAAATATCTATCACTTGGGTGTTTCTTAACTTAATTGGAAACCTGTCGATCAGCTCGGCCCAGATGAATCGTCTAACAACTAGTCATTAGCATTTTGGTGCCAAGAGAGCAGAGTTAGTTCCACCTTTATTATCAGGCACAATAACTTAGGTCCAGGGTCTGGAAGAGTTCCGATAATGAGTCAGTCTCAAAGGGACTACCAGCCAAAGTTTTCAGAACAGGTGAAACCCGTTAGAGTTCACGATAATCTGGGCTTCAACAATGCAAAAACGAGGAGTGCTTCCTCAAATCAGTGTGACTATCAACCCAAATTAGCAGATCGAGTTGCTTCGATAACAATATGGGACAATATAGTCGCGTCATATAGATTGAATGATGCTGCGCACGAATGGTATGAAACGCTGACAACTAGACTTTATACGCAGCAGTTTTTCGATTGTATGACGCAAGTGTTTTTTCTTTTCGACGGTGGAAAATGAACACTGCGATGGATTGCTCATCGTACAAGTGGATGGTTTTTCCTTTAGCGTGACAACAGAATTTGAGAATCGTGTTCAAAGAGCACTAGACGGACTAAAACTGGGAATAATCAAGTGTGAGAACTTCGATTTTCTGGGACTTAGCGTGGCGACGTACAGTGACTCTTAGGAGTGAAGCCTGTATTGCTAGACGTAATGACGATACAGGTATTCGGAAACATGCCTGCAGCAAATAGCGAGATGGCGATTGGAGACAGTATGGTGGCAAGGGCGAGATCACTCATCAGAATGTTACAACGGATGACGATTTTGTTTCGGCCAGATTTATCCAAACGACTAAATGATGTATTAAACCTTCTGCACATGAGATTAACGTGGAGGTTCATAAGAGCATCGACCATTGTGGTGAGATTGTATAAAAAGCGGCCAATCCAATCAAATAAATTCAGAAAATTGACAGTAGTATTGCAGATGGAACTCTACCGAGATCCGAGCCAATAAGATCGATCAACAATGGGCCAAGTAGAAGTGAAACGAGAACAAGATTGAGAATTTGACTACAGTTCACTGGTACTCAACGACAATCGGCAGGCTACCCAACAAATCTTCAAAACAGAAGCATATGCGGCACGACTCACGAGTAAAAATTG